ACTTTCGTAAAAGAATATTTTGAAAAAGCTTAATGAATAATACACAAATCCACCTTTGATAGATTTTCTAGGTAGACTACATATTCAGTTTACAGACGGGTGGACGTTTTATTCAGTTTACATTTTGTAGACTGCAAATTAGGTCTACATTTAGGTTGGTTTTTGCAATTGCCAAATTCACGAGTTACTTTCTGTATTTGAAAAAGATGTGATTTTATACGAGTAGACTTATTTTTAGTCTACATTTTTAAAAATGTTAGTTTTGCAATTGACCAGAATTCGTTCAGAGTTTGACTTTTAGATGTAGACTTACTATGCAGTCTACATTTTTAAATTTGTTTGAAAGATGTTAATTTTGCAATTGACCAAAGTTGACTTTCTACTAGTAGACAAAACAAGATGTCTACGTAACTGTAGACTGCAGTAAAAGTCTACACTATAACCCGACAAGTTAGTTTTGCAATTGACCAACATAAAATAGTAGACTTCATATGGAGTCTACCTTTTTTCCTAAGATTTGTAGACTGCATATGAAGTCTACACGTAAAGTAAGTTTTAGTCAGTTTCTAAATATTTTAGTCAAATACAAAAGAAACCTATTCAACGAAGTCAAAGTTTTAGTCAATTGCAAAACTGACCTTCCGTAGACTTCCCTAGCAGTCTACAAAGTGTAGACTTCCAAGAAAGTCTACTATGGTAAGTCAAAATTTTGGTCAAATGCAAATCTAACCTCTTTTATGTAGATTTCTTAGTAAGTCTACTAATTTTTTTTGTTTTTGGTTTCAAAGGTAAAGACGTTGACGTACTTGTAGGTCTACATTACAAAAAAAAAAAATTTTGGTCAATTGCAAAAGTAACTTGTGCGTTGACAAGTAGATTGCATCTTAAGTCTACACGTAAGTGTAGACATATAATACAGTCTACTTTCGCGATACAAATCAGAGATATGATTAAAAGCATGTAAATAGTTACCTTGACACCGGTTTAAAGCTTGTTTCCAAGCTTTTCTACCGTCCAGAATCCAAATATGAGCATACTTTACGATTCACTTGTGAATAAAATCGAAACTATGAAGTTTGTGTTTATGAAAAATGAGAGTTATGAGGATTGTTTAGATGAAAATAGAGAGGAAATGAAGTATTGTTTGTTTAGAAAGTGAAATAAGTGGTTGAAAATTCATAAACACAAGCTTAAAGAGCTCATCAATGGTGGTTTTTGGTGGTTGCAAATATTGATGTCAATGGCATTGTGGTAAATAGGGAGAAATGTTTAGGGTGTAATAGGTTTTTAATAATTTTCGAAAAGAATATCATATTTAATAATAATGGCAATTTGGTAAATAGCTAGAAACATGAGGAGAGTTTAGGTTTTTTAAGAGAGAATAGTAATGACTAAAAAAAGAGAGGTTGGTTTTGTGTTTGACTTGAATTTTTGGGTTGGTTTTGTAAAACCTCCTACAAAAAAATCACATGTTTGATATATTTTTGTGTTTAGTCATAAAAAACGATTATTATTATTATCGAAAATATTTTTTTATATGTTTAGTCAAAAAGAAATCATGTTTCATCGTCATCTTATTACATCTGTGTTTTAATATATAGTATTTAATCTATTTTATTAAACTGTTGTTATGAAAATATCATTAAAATGCATTTAGAAAATTATTTAATAACTGACAAATTTAATAAAATTGCCTAATTGTTAGTAATAACAAGAAATAAGTCATTTGAAAATAATTAAAAACTTAGTATACATAGGAAAAACTACAAATTTAAAAACTAGAAAAAGCTAAAGAAATTCTGGAAGATATCAATAGCCTGAAGGAAAGTTTTCACCACTCGACGATCATTCATGTTCCAACAACTCAGATTTCATAACAAAGAATTCAAACAGATTAACCAAAAAAAGAAAATTTGTTAACGTAATTAGTTAAACATGTCATTCATGTACACGTTTGGACAGATTGATTTTTTACGTATCAGATTTTTTTGGCTTAAAATTAAACTCTATTCAAATATTATAAATATACAGATGGTATTCGAATCGGCCAAATCCGAATAAGTTTATATTTTACTTCTGTGCGGATAGTCTATGTGTTTTCATGCATCATGTGCAGTGAAAAACTTTAATAATAAATTTTATTAATATTATAGATTTTTTTCTTTTCTTACCAATATTTAAATATTATAAATATGTATTGTTTGAAATGTTAAAATGTTGATTAATTATCCTTATTTATATGATTAGAATTAATATTTTGAGAAATTTTCAGTCTATATTTTTTATTTTAAGTTGCAACAAATAACCTATTGATTTGTTTTAAAATATGAATATCATAATAAAGTACATATAAGCTAAAAATATTTTAATGTAAATTATATAAAACATTATTATTAGGTATGTATAAAAACTGTCAAAATAGCAGCTTTAGAAGCAATGTGATTATTAAATTGTCCACTACCCAAATATATAAGGAGTTACGTTTTTTTACTTTACAACAAAATTTTATATGTGGTTGATTAAAATAATTATATTCCATTTTTAAAAGAGTAAAATGTGGAAACAAATAGTTAGACTATACATATACCAATAGATTATATAGCTGTTTTAATAGAACTAGGTGTTCTGCCCGCACATGCGGGCTTAATTATCTTTAAGTCAATTTACAAAATCATCAAAATAAACGATTATTTTCATCCAAAAAATCGACCTAAAATATTTAAATTTTTTACATGATAAAGTTATTCACAAATTAAAAAAATATTTTTCTTTAAAACTTTGAAAAATATAGAAAGTTATCTTTCAATTTTGAAAATTGAATCAATAAATAAACATTCAAAAATTGAACTTACAGAAAGAATAATATTATTTTGAATAATAATACAATATATTTGAATTTATTTTTGTCAAGCACGTATTTTCTTTACTTTTGAATGATCTTTTATTTATTATGATTAGTTCAATTTTAAGGTTTAATTATATAAAATATAAAAATAAATATATATTTATATATATATTATATTATTATATTCTTTTAATTTGAAAATAATTACGTATTAAAATTGTTTCAATTTTCTCTTTTGAATTATATACAATTAAAAATAATACTCTATGAATATTTATTTATGTGTTTTCTGTTTTTTATTAAAATATATTTTCAGGATAACAACACAATATATATAGGACTTATCTTTTTTATTTTTAAATATATATTTAGATTTTGGATAATTCTTATCTTTATTGTTAATTTAAATCATTTATCTAATCAAATAAATATTAAAATTGTTTTTATTTTTAGCTGATTTATATATTTATTCATTAAGGGTATAAACGATATTAACCACTCTAACTTTTAACGTGAGAGCTCTGTTGCGAAAAATCACTTCGCAAATAATAATATAGATAGATGTATCTCATAAGTCATAACATATACTTAAATTCTAAAATTGATGTAAAAGAGTTTCTCATTTTTTTAATGTTTTCATAAAATAAAAACAAAAAAAAGAAAACTCGTGCAACGCACAGGTCCATGCCTAGTAACTAATAAATCAGAAGCAAGATGTTAAATTAAGCATCTGCGAATGAAGTTACGGAAAAACACAATAAAAAATCTTCAAAGTGACAGCTACTTACACTTTAAACCCTCAGAATATTTTACAAGTATTTTAAACATTTAAGTTGGCAAATTTAACATATTAAATCTTCAATCTAGTTTATTTGTACATCAAGTCAAAAATGTAATCAGTATTTTTCAAAACCAATGACGTGTCAGTTTGATTTAAAATTCATAAAATTAGAATAAATCATAAACATTTACAAAAATATTAAAATAATAATTAAAGTAGTTTATTAATAAAGTATATAAAAATATAGAAAACTAAAAAATAATAAAAACTTAAAGAAATCATAAAAATCCCAAAAATAAGAAATTTCACAATAATTTAAATAAAATCAAAAAATTTTAAAATAAATAAAATAAATATAATCTAATATATAAAATACATATATATTCAAGAATAAAAAAATATTTTTTAATAGTAATTGAGAAAACACTGTATTTTAGTGTTTATTGGTTGGGATTTTATAGATATTATAACTAGATTAATACAGGTATCTGAATAGCTGCTAAAAGACTTGGATTTTAATTTGCTTACTTTGATTTGGTTCACGAGAATCATTTGATGGTATATATCAAATACGATAACTTATAGGATGACACAAACATGATACTCCCTCCGTTTCAATTTAATTGACATTCTAGAGTTTTGCACACAGATTAAGAAAATAATTAATTTTATATATTTTCAAAATAAAAACACAATTATCTGTACACCTAACCACTTTTCAACCAATGAAAAAAATAGAATAACATTTAAAATCAATAAATTTTGCATTGAAATTATAAAACGACACTTATTTTGAAACGAAAATTTTACTCTAGAATGACATATAATTTGAAACGGAGGGAGTATATAATAGTGATATGAAAAAAAAAATAGCAACATTTTAAAAAAATATATATATATATATACCCGTGCATGTCAAGTTTAGCTACTAAAGACCTGGAATTTAATTTGTGGATTTCCTTATTTTTGGGATTTTTATGATTTCTTTTAAGTTTTCCTTTTTTTATTTTATGTATTTTATATTTATTTTATTAAGAAAATAATAAAATTATTTTTTGTGATTTTTTGTAATTTTTGTGAATTGTATTGAAATTCTTATAAATTTATATTTTTCTATATTTTATACTTATTTAATAATAAAATATAATTTTTAAAAGATGACATGCCATTAGTTTTGAAAAATACTGGTTACAGTTTTGACTTGATTGTACAAATAAATCAGATTATAGGTTTAATATGCTAAATTTGTTAATTTGAGTCTTTAAAGTGTTTGTGAAATACTTTCGGGATTTAAAATATGATTGGCAGCCACCTTGAGAGTTTTTATGCGATTTCCCCAATGAAGTTGTTGAGGAAGGAGAATATAAAGCATCTTCAGGACTTGGAGGCTGTTATGGGTCGTTGCTTCTTACGGAAGAGGTAGCTCATGAGCATCCCAACTAAAGGGAAACCTGTTACCATGCCTATGTAACCAAGCAACCATATGGACCGTTTTGTCTGGCGGCACAACACGTTAAAGCTTCTCTTATCTTTAACCTTTGGTCCTCTCTGGTTCAATACTTGTGTTGCTTCTTCTGACCGTGGGGTGTTTTCCTCCAAGTTGACTACTGCCACCAACCCGTCTTCTGCAATTTTTAGGTACGGGCTTTGGTTTATCGTAGGCTCTTCCTGCTTTCCTGATCCTGAGCTTCCACTCTCTTGAATCTGCGCAAGATTGAACTGGTGACTTTCTCTTTGAGGTTTCTTTGAATGTAATATACGCCACAATAAAAATCAATGAATAGACAAAACAGTTGAAGATGACAAACGGAAACTTACTTTCTGTACATGCATATAGCGACTGCAGCTGAGTGCGCCAAGAAACTCGTTTGTGGCCCGAACCCACCTATACCAGCATTATATAACCGTGTACGTACTTATCTGTTTTCATGCTTCGTAAAAGAGAATATAGAAAGAGAGATACACACCACAAGCTAGATGCAGTCAATCCTTCGAAAAACGCTAGATGTCCCCCGTGATTTGTTGTCGCCAAGACAATGTTTTTATTTGCCCTTTTTCAAAGAAACTTCATGAAATACAGTATATGAAATAGGATTCAAAGATTTAAAGAGATCGGTAGTACCGGCATTCTTCCCAAGGAATAGCTTCCTTTGTGCATAAGGGATCATCTAGAGCACTGATACAGAGTAGCGGTACAGCAACATTTCCTACGTATTGGGTACTGCTAGATTTTCGGTAAAATGTATCCACAGTCTGCGTTAGGTGCAAATCGTTCTCACTTTGTTAAATCAACAGAGAACTTAGCTCTAATAATGAAGAGCATCATCGCAAAGATGTACAGATAAGGCCAAACTAACATCAGAAGTTAAACTAATATGGAAGAACAAGTACCTCAAATTTCCCGACATGACATGTAGCATGATTGTCAAAATCTCGGATGGAACGTGACTGATGAAGAAATGAAGTTAGGTAACAACAGACAATATTAGTAGCAAAATAAAATGGATATGTGGTTACACAATGTAGCTTACACTACTGACCTTTTTTATGCCTTCCCAATTAGCAAGCCGTGTATACTGAGGTTCATGTCTGCAAATGAAACTAGAGTTATAACTGTAACCTGATTTATCTAAACTATCTTCCCTAAAGCCATCTAACAAACTCAAAATATAGGCGGTAGGTGTGGACATACAATTGGGCATAACCTTGAAGACCAATGGTTAGAGCTCTGTCGTACAACCTTTGTTTGAATTTTCGGCAGATAAACCTGTCACTAATCTTGATGGGAGGAGACAAAGGAAGAGAAAGCATAATCTATCAAGCGTCCACTTATATCAAAGAAGTTATCCTCTCTAATCAGATAACCAGAGAGAACATGACACGGCAAATTTTGGAATCAATATATCTAGAAGAAGAAAATAGTTATGAAAAAAGTAACTCACTAAGAGGTCCCATGGAGAGCAAATAGCTACAGCGCCCTTCAGAGGAGTCTTCTCACCCTCTTCCCCAAGGTATTTCACCTGAAACAATGGATGTATTTAAGGTTTATGTTGTCCACAAGATGAAACTCCTCGTGCATATCATTGTATTCAAAAACCTTAATAGGCTATGTAGCCTACGGTGCAGCCAAGTGCATATGAAATAAGTCCATGGAAGACAAGAAAATCACACTTCAGCGAAATTAAAAGCTAAGCAAAGTTGTTCAACTGGATCAAACTAGAAGCGTGTACACATGAAACTAAAACTAAATAAATAAGAAAACAGTATTCCAACCAGAATATTAGCTCCAATGCTAGTTCCAATAGCAAAGAGAGGAGCCATTGGGTAGTCGTGTTGAAGATGAGCAAGAACTACCCGCACGTCCTCTGTCCATCCAGCATTATAGAAGCAATCGGACTGCAAGATAGAGAAAAGATTATGGAAGAACGAACATGTGTACGTTTCATAGAAGACGAAAAGAAAACACCAAAAGAAGGGAACTCACAGTAACAGAAACACCACCCAATCCTCTATGGTTGCTAATAACAACATTCCAACCGGATTTTGCTGTGTTGTAGGCAAGGTGCTTAAGATACTGCGGAAATGTCAAGTCAAATGTACATAATAAGTTGACTGTATCCCAAGACCAGAGAAGAGATTATTTGTGGGAAAGAAGACTCACGGCAGAGGAAGAATCACTAGTTAACCCTGGAATAACAACAGCAATGGGAGTAGTGTCTTCCTTTGTGATTTCATTCTGATTGTTGGGAGGATCCGCATCAAGAACTGCAACAAACAAACAAACAAAAAAAAGGGAAATTTGCCCCTATGGCTACAAAAAAAAAAACACAAATTTGTAAACTAACCAAAAATTCACTCTCTCTCCAACTTTCTCTTCCTATCTCTCTCTTTCTACAAAACTAATTTTACTTTTTTTTTTTGGTTATAACACAAATAAGCCCAAAAAAATAT